TAGGGTTTGGGGTTTAGGGTTTAGGGTTTAGGGTTACTACTAATTGCTTAAGAACACCGGAAAATAGAAGAACGTTTTCCTTATTAAGGGTAATATGGTGATTCTTGTTGTTTGTCTTCTTTTGGGGTTCTTAAGCAAAATGCAGATTAGGGTTCGGCCTTTGGGTTTTTCAGGGGTGCGTAGGGCTCGTCTTTTGTCTATTTTAATCATAGGGGCTTTAGGGCGTTGTAGGTCTGATTTTTTGCAGGCTGAAGGGTTCGGGCTTACTTAGGGGGAAGGGGGCCTCGAGTTGAGAGATCAGGGGACGATTCAGGGCAGCTAAGACCCTAAACCAGAATTCCTGATTCTTGACGTAGAAATTCATCCCTAAACCCTAAACCCTAAACCCTAAACCCTGCATTGTGCCAAGCCCAACGGAAGACAGAAACATAGTATTCTAGGACCCAGACGCGGCCCGTATTGCCTCATGTTTTCTTGGGGGGGGGGGGGGGGGGGGGGGGGGGTGGGGTGTTAGGGTTTAGGGTCTAGAGTTTACGGTTTAGGTTCCCCTACAGGCCCCTTTAAACCAAAAATGGGCACCCTTTGCTATTCAAAGGTTTAGTATTCTTTGGTTAAGGTTGCCTAACGAAACCCTGCTCCGCACACTGAACCCTAGCCCAAGGCCTAAAGAAGAACCAACTAATCCTTAGACAGATGCCCGCACAACCCCCAAACCCTGAGGCCCCAAACCGTGAGGCCCAAACCGAAAACCCTAAACCTCAAGCCCCAAACCCTAAACCCCAAACCCTAAACCTTACACGATAGACCCTAGACCCGAAACCCTACACAAACCGAAACGCGAAACCCTAAGAACCTGCACCCCAAAATTCTGCCCGATACGATCCTCCCCTGGCGCCGCCAGGACTTGAACCTCTTCACAAGCAGTGACCGGGCAGAAGCCAGAGTCGGTCTCGGGTTGAGGGGTGTAAGGTTTAGGGTTTAGGGTTTAGGGTTTAGGGTTTAGGGTTGTAGAGTTGTAGGGTTTAGGGTTTAGGGTTTTAGGGTTTAGGGTTTAGGGCTTGGGGCCTAGGGGTTTGGGCTTTCGAGGTTGTAGGGTTTAGGGTTTAGGCCGTCGAGGTTTTAAGAGGGCGTGGGGGTTTAGACTGTGGAGGTTTGGCGTTTAACCCTCCCCCCCCCTGGTGAAGAACCCTAAACCCTAAACCCTAAAGGCTAATTGTCCCCCACGCACTTGCGAAGCCTAAACCCGAAGCCCCCTCCCGGCACAGGCCACTCGATCACTACAGTTTGTGATGTACACCCTTATACTAGCAGTCCTTAATGGGGGTGATAGTTGCCCGACTGTTTAAGGACTGTTTGTAGAGAGGGAACATCCCACAATAAATCGTGATTTCCGAATTTCGGGGTTCATGCTTGGAGGTTCACTTCAGGGGCTTATAAGTAGGTTATAAGTACAGTTGTAATTGGTTGAAAATTCTTCATTATATTTATAATAGTTAATAAGTTTAATTTGTCATATACAAATAACAATTGTAGTGATAAGACTAAATAATGATACTAAGAATCATAACAATATTTGTAGTAACAATAAATTGTAATAATGGTAATAAGTATCACGAACCTCCAAGTGGGGTTCCCTGAGCCGCTGACGCCCTCGGTCGCTTGTCTGGGAGGTGACAATTCTGGCACAGCTGGCACGGGCTCCACGATTGATCGCCACCAGGCTGTTTAAGCTAGGGTTTAGGGTTTAGGGTTTAGGGTTTGGGGTTTAGGGTTTAGGGTTTAGAGTTTAGGGTTTAGGAGTACTATACTTTAATGCTTTTTTGCTTCTGGGTTCCTATTATAGCTACTTATACCTAAACAGTGTATACTTTTGGAGTAATTTCTATATTTTAACACCTTTTTTTCTTCTGGGTTCCCATTGTAGCTACTTATACCTGAAAAGTATATAACTATTTTTTCCACGGTCTACTCCAAATTGGGGTTTAGCGTCCCCGCAGCCTTAAAACCCTATAGACCCTAAACCCCTAAAGCCATAAAGCCAACATGTAGCAGGCTAAGCGTTGGAGCAGTTCTACAACGTCGGGTGGGGAACCCCAAAACCCCCAAAATGAGGAAGGCACTACTGAGTTAACATCCCAGAAAAATGTAGCAGCAGAAGGAAATTACCGGGAATGACGCTCCCTACATCGTTGGTACAGGGAGGCATAAGATACCTGGCCTTCTATTTCTTCTGTCGGCATTTGCATCAGAAATCTTACATCCAACAAGCAGTACAACACGAAAAGCAAGTCCAGAAAAGATCCGACACCCAACAAAGAGTACACAACGAAAAGCAATTCCAACACAATTCCTCGGCCGCATATGAAGCACCCTTCAGGGCAACAGCGGTGGGGGCACGACCCTAAACTCCAAACCCCAAACCCTGAACCCTACACCCCAAGAGTCCGAGAGACCCGTAATAAACCCCAAGCCCTAAACCCCAAACCCCAAGCCTTCAAGCCCTAAACCCCAAACGCTAAACCCTAAACCCCAAGCCCTAAACCCCAAACCCTAAACACCAGACATCCAGAAGAAGAGTAGCTGAGGACAGCCAGTGCCTTCGCTGCAGGGCTTGCAGGCGCTTGCGGGGTGACGTCTTCGGGATTCGGACTTCGAGCTTCGGGCAGTGGTGGTGGGCTTGGGATTGTCCTAAACCCTAAACCCTAAACCCTAAACCCTAAACCCTAAAACTTGTGAGCAGCTCCCTCAAGTGACATGCTGTAGAAAGACGACTGTGAGGCGCGGACGGCCAAGCTGGAGCAACTTATGAAAGAAGCTCTCACTGAGGCCCTGGGGTTTAGGGTGAGGAGTTAGGGCTAGGGTTTAGGGTGTAGGGTTTAGGGTTTAGGAGTTAGGGTTTAGGGTTTAGGGTCTAGGGTTAAACCTTGAACCCTTAAACCCTGAACCGTACTGAAGTTCTGGGTTGAGGGGCTGAGTGTCTTGGGATTATACCGAAACCCGAAAACAAACCTCCAACCCTGACCTCTAGGGTTCAGGGGTTCTAGGGATTCAGGGCTTGTGGGCTTTGCGGATGTTTGGGATCAAACCTTGCTGGGTAAGTTTGAGGCTGAGGGCTTTTCTGGACTTTGAGCCTCCGGCACACTTCGGGTTTAGGGTTTAGGGTTTAGGGTCTAGGGTTTAGGGTTTTGGGTTTAGGGTTTAGGGTTTAGGGTTTAGGGTTTAGGGTTTAGGGTTTAGGGTTCAAGCCCTACACCCGACACTCCCTAAAGCTCCGTGAGGCCACACCACGATGAATGTCAAGCCTTTTCACCCGGGGCTTCAGGGTTCCATTCTGTTAAGGTGTGCTGGGGTGGCTGTGAAGGTGTGTTGGGGTGGGTTTAGGGTTTAGGATTTAGGGTTTAGGGTTTAGGGTTTAATTAGGGTTCAGGGTTCAGGGTTCAGGGTTCAGGGTTCAGGGTTCAGGGTTCAGGGTTCAGGGTTCAGGGACCTTATAAAACGCCCCAGGCCACAAGCAGCAGTCTCAACCCCTGTGGGGCCCAAGCTTGCAGTTGAAACGTCCGTGAAGGGCCCCAAGCCGCATGAGGTTCCCTAAGCCCTAAACCCTAAACCCTAAACCCTAAACCCTAAACCAGGCTTCAGGGGTTTTTTAAAGGGCATCAGGCTTTAGGGGGAGAAGTTGCCTGCAACCTAAACCTTAAACCCGATGTGGAGCGGCCCTGCAAGCCTTAACTTTAGGGTTTAGGGTTTAGGGTTTAGGGTGTAGGGACTCTCTGACTTCATTGTAGGTATGGGGACCATGTGTTTAAGGGGTTCGTGTTGGGGTGGTTCAGCAGTGAATCCCCACCATTTCCTTTTCGAGGTCTGTAATCCAGACATGCAAGAACAGGCCGAGAACCGAGAACCCTAAACCCTAAACCCTAAACCCTAAACCCTAAACCCTAAACCCTACACCCTACACCCTAAACCCTAAACCCTAAATCCTGAACAGCCCCAGGTGGATCAACTACTACATGTGCCACCGTCCCTGCCCCGGACTGCGGCCTTCTTTTTGGTTTAGGGTTTAGCCCTCATGTGTAAATGCTGGGTCGCTGCGTAAACTGCTGAAGCCTTGTTTCCCTAAACCCTAACCCTAAACTCGAAACCCTGAAACCCAAACCCGAGGTTAGAGTGAAGGTAATTATTCAGACCACCCCTCGACCCTCAGCCTTATGTACACCAAGCCTGCTGCACCGTTCTCAGATAGCAGCCTAAGCCCGAGGTTCTTTGGACCTGCACAGACTGCCCTGAACCAGCAAAACCCTGAAACCCCAAATATGGGGTCTGCCGCTTGCAGGTACTAGAGGGGCCGGAATATTTACGAACCGATTTGCCCCGAACCAAAACCCCCCCCCCACCCTTCCCTCAAACAACCAATCCCTAAGTCTCTAAACCCTAAACCCTAAACCCCAAACCCTGAACCACACGGAGCCTTTAGGGCCAAAGCCTCCATAGGGTAAGCATTCCCTAAACCCTAAACCCTGAACCCTCAACGCCTGAATCATGAAGCCTTTAGGGCCTTAAGGCCCTAAAGCATTGCTGGGTTTAGGGTTTATGGTTAGTACGAAGTTCGAGAGTGTGTCGCTGAGTGCATGCCGTACACTTCATATTCTCAGTCATCTTCTGCTCGAGGGTTTCTTGTTAGAAAGGGTTTGAATGGACATCCCATTGCTTGGGGCGACGCTTCTCGTGGGTCTTTCCTGGGGTGCACAATTCTGGGGGAGCAAGCCTGAGGCGAGGGCAGCAGTTGCACCTTGCGTGTGTCACTGCGAGTGTGCCTCCCCACCAGAATCATCATTTGGCATTAAGCTGTGGATTGCTGTGATTCTCCTGGTAGGCAGCTGGATTTGTTTCTTCGCTGTGTGGCTTGTGGCTAGCCAGAGAGAGCAGAACAGCTCTCCCATCGCAAAAGGCAAAGGGAAGCGCGGAGTCCTTGGTGGATCTTTGGCTTTGACTCTTCAGTGATGATTTCGGAAGGGGACATTTGCTTCGTGAACTATGGAGAGGTGCCGCCATGCATTCATGCCAGACTTGTTGGAGCGCACATTCAGAACGACCTGTTTGTAATCATCACGCCTGACTACGATGTGTACGAGGAACAGTTGTCTAACTTAAACCCCGACTTCACCGCCTTCCACTATGGAGGTCCAGGGCTTGGGGCGGCAGTTCCAGCTGGTTTGAATCGAGCGCATGTGTATGCCTTCGGGGCCATGTCAGCGATTGACTACCAACGCTTGATGAACCAGGCAAGGCTCTATGCTGCAGGCATCCGAGCCGGTTTGGGCTTGCCGCCAGTACCAAATGTAGCCCCAGCTGTGCCTGCGCCAGCTCCAGGTGCACCCGCAGTACCTGCCCTTCCTGCTGATCCACTGGTTTGGGTTGCCCTTGAAAGCAGAGGCAACGCTCGGGTCGGATCAGTTGTGGTTCCGGCTGGACAGGGCCTACCCGCTGGAGCCGTGAACTTAGGTGATCGTGCCATCGTCGACGCCGGTGCAGGCCTGCTAGTTGCTCTCAAGCAGGTGCCGCAGTCCCAGGTGGGGACTATGGAGACCAGGGACTTGAGGGTTCTTCCTTTGCGTTTTGATGGGCAAGGGCAACGACGGGCCGACTTCAATGAGGTTGTCAGCCAGATGTCTCAGGACGACATGCCAGGAGGCAAGTTGCAGTTGGACGGGCCTCCTTCCGCCCTGGAGGTGGTCCGTTCCATGGTGCTTCGAGGGCTCACACCTGTCACTGATCATGAACACTGGGTTCGGACGCATGAGTTGGCCAAGGGCGACAGGTCCGTGTACGAGATGGAGGTGATCACCAGGGTCTTGGAGGCATTCATCACCGTCGACCAGATCAACATCCCCAACCTCAAGGGTTGCGAGCTGCTGGTGCGTCGTTGGCAGTTGATCCGGGAGGCTCACCGGCTATCGCCCACCAACCCGGACTACAGTGCAGCTGATGTCATCATGGGTTGGGCTTACCGGAAGGGCGATGGGGTTGAGCCGACCTTGGCTCGCTACGTGGCAAGCGAGCTGCGGGACCAGGCGTCGATCGCCAAGGAGGCGCGCAAGGCGCGTGAAGAGCAGGAGAACAGACGTGGTGGTGGCCGCCGAAACCCGAAAGAAGCGGGGGGAGGCGGCGGTGGCGGAAAGTAAGCGCTGCCAAGGGGGTCGCTGTTTCCTACCTCTCGGTGATCCCCTTTGTTTTCCTCGAGGTGGGGTTTTTAATCCGCGTGCAGTCGGCGCGCAGTTTTGGTTTGATTGTGGATGATGGCGCCTTGCTCTGCTGAAGATCGGTGGCGAGATCTTCTCCCGTTGCCGCTTCTTGAGCCCGACAAGCACGAACATAGTCGGAATGAGTTTTTGAAGGAGTCTGCTTGTGTGAGGAGGCACAGGGCGAGGCGAAAGGACAACCTTGACAAGACCAACGAGGTGATCCATGCCTTGAACGCTATGGCGGGGTTCGACGTGCCCTGCACTTTGAAGCCCACTCCAAACCAGGCGCATTCGCAATCGAGTTTACTTCGTAGAGTTGCTCACCTACCCCGTTCCCAGGAGAGAGTGTTCCAGCGTGAGGCCATTCGTGAGCTTCTGCTTGATTGTCCGTCTTCTCCCTATGTGTCGGATGGAGGCGGGACCGGAAGTGTGAGAGCTTATCAGAGAGACCTTGTGTCATTGCCGGAGTCGGGGGCCGAACCTCTTGAGGCCACGGCTTTGATAGATGATCAAGGGCGAGAAATTTTGGAGAGATTTGAGAGCACCATGTTTGTCGGGGAGGACGTGAGCCATGGTTCCCCCATCAAGCCATACATGGACGACACCCTTAGATCCTCACCGAAGGCCTATGCCCAGTTCATCTCCGACATCTTCGAGCGGGGGATGATTGATTTTGACAGGACCGCCGCTAGCATCATCACACCATTCTTTGTGAGCAAGAAGAGTGGCAAACTGAGGTTAGTGCTTGACTGCAGGGCTAGCAATCAACAGTTCGATCGCCCACCTGATATCGCGCTCGCAGCAGGGTATACGTTTGCACAACTTGAACTACCTGAAGGGGAATCCCTTTTTGTTGCACAAAGCGATGTCCGCGACTAGTTTTATTCCATTGGCTTGCCGCAAGGACTTCGACGATACTTCGCCTTGCCGCCGATCCCAGCATCTGCGCTGCCGGCAGGTGTGGGCGTCATTGCGGAGAGTGAGGGAGAGTTGTGGTACCCTAGGATGAAGGTCGTCCCGATGGGATGGAGTTGGGCCATGTGGATTGCACAGAGAATACACCAGCATCAAGCTTCAGTGGCATTGGCATGCAGCCCCGATCAGGTCCTGGTCGACGGGAGGCCTCCGCCTTCTCTGGAGGCCGGGTCTCCTCTGCTCATTCCCTATGCCGATAACCTCAATGTCTGTGGCACAAACCAAGCTGCAGTCCAGAGTGCAAAGGACAAGGTGGTTGAGCAGTTGCGTAGCGTTGGATTCCGGGTGCATGAAGAAGAAGACGCGTCGTTGCGTGTCCAGGCGCTTGGCTTTGTCATCGATGGTGAAAAGGGTGAGGTGCATCCTATCGCAGCTAGGCGTGACAAGGTCCGGCTTGGGTTACTTTGGTTATCCAAGCGCCCTAAAGTTACCGGCAGAGCCATCGAGCGTATCGTTGGGCACTGTGTTCACTTATTCATGTTGCGCCGGGACCTTCTCTCCATCTTCCGCTCAGTGTATGACTTCAAGATCGCCAATTATCATAAACCGTGTCGTTTATGGCGCACTGCAGCGGAAGAGTGTAGGATATTGCAGCTGCTCTCATCTTGACGTGCTATGCTGATCTACGTAAGCCTTGGTGTCCTACCATTACGGCTAGCGATGCTTCTCTCAGTGGCACTGCCGTAGCTGCTCTGACCGTCGAGTCAGGCCAGGTTCAAACGATTGGCGTGTGCAGAGAAATGTGGCGTTTCAAGTCAAAAGATCCATTGGCCAAGGCCAGGGATGCGGCTCTGTGTTTGGACCCATTTGTGCACCATGAGACTGTCATGTCACTTGACCCGGCAGAGAGAGATCCATTTCAACTCAACCTTGACTTCCAGCATGTGCCTGTGCAGATCGCGTGCCATCCTGAGTGGAAATTGCAACTTGCTTGCCGCATGCACAAGCCAGAACACATCACGCTTCTTGAGGGGCGGGGGACTGTGCAAGCGGTTCGACACAAGATGAGGGTTGAGGGCAACTATGGCATGAAACATTTGCACCTTGGTGACAATTTGGGCATGGTTCTTGCTTTTGACAGGGGTAGGGCTAAAGCTGTGCCACTGTTAATTTGTTGTCGGCGTGCAACGGCCTTTGCGATTGCGGGCGACTGCGTCTTCACTCACAGATGGATCCCCTCTGAACACAACGCGGCTGATGCCGGCTCGCGCCAGTGGGAACAGGAGAAGCCGTCCGAAGCCGCGGCCAAAAGCCGCTCGAAAGAGGCCGTCACAAGCCTCTGCTACCCCAAGTCCAAAAGCTGCTTCAGCAAAGAGCAGGGCCGGGAGCTCTTATGGGGGTGTGCTCGCCGAGTTGAAGAAGTCGGTCCCGCCCAGGGTGCTTGCGGGAGCTCCCACCAAGCGCAGTCTGCGCAAAGCGCTCCAAGGGCCGGACGAAGCCACCCGGGCTTCCAAACGCCAGGCAGTGGTGGCAGCGGGCAAGCCGCGCAACCGGAACGAGGGGCACACCTTCCTAGAGACCGCGGCGGTGGCGCCGAGGACCAGCGAGGAGTACCTCCACAAGTGGAACCTGTTCGAGTCCTTTTGCAAAACCCAGAAGTTGAAGCTGCGAAAAGAGGACGAAGTGGACTACGCCTTGAACCTGTTTCTGAACCAAGCTTTCTTGGAAGGATGGGACATCAGCGAGGGTGTCAAATGCATGGCTGCAGTCACCGACCGCTGGCCCGCCTTGTCAGGTCGAGGACAGCTCCCGCGAACAAGAAGGTCCATGCAAGGATGGCGGAACCTCGACCCAGGTGTCACACGGCCGCCTCTGGCGTGGCCACTGGTCGCCCTGATCGCCCTGACTGTCCTTCAGGCGGACCAGTTTGTAGCGTGCATGGCCATCCTCTTCATGTTCGCCACTTACGTGCGGCCGGGAGAGGTCTTCGAGATCCGGCGCCAGGATCTGGTGAAAAGCAGGTCGCTCGGGCAGGTTTGGTCTGTCAATCTCCACCCGTCGGACGACCTCCAGGAGTCGAAGGTGGAGGTAAGCAACGAGACCATCCTGCTGGACAACAAGGAAATCCCGTGGCTCGGAGCAGCGCTCGAGTGCATGACAGCCATATCAGGAGCAGCGTTGTTTCCCACGAACTACACAGAGCTGCTCGACACATGGCATCGTGCTCTCAAACAACTAGGACTGGGGTCCAAGTTTGCAGTGCCTCACCAGTTGAGACACTCTGGGGCGAGTTGGGACCGCTTCAAGAACTACCGCAGTTTGTTGGAGGTCAAACATCGAGGGCGTTGGGCGGCCGACAGCAGCTTAAAGCGGTACGAACAACATGCAATGGTAGCTCAGCAGTTCGAGAAGTTGGCCCCGGCGCTCAAACGACGAGCGCAAGCTGCCCCAGCTACACTGCAAGCAATGGTCCTCGCCAAATGTGGCCTCAAACGGTGAAAGTCAGCAAGCCCTTTCTGGAGCTTTTCTCCGGATGTGCGCACTTGTCACAAGCGTGTGCGAGTCTGGGCATCCCATGTGAGGCATGGGACATTGACTATGGTGAAGCATGCAACGTCCTCACGCCTAAGGTTGCAGCTGTGCTGTTGCATCACATCGCCAAGGGGGAGTTCTCAGCGGTTCATCTTGGCATGCCGTGCATTACGTGGAGCCGCGCTCGTCGCGATGATGGTCGTGGCCCACGCGCGCTTCGAGATGATCATGCCGGCCTATTTGGTCTGCCGTCTTTGATGCCATGGGAGCGAAGGAAGGTTCAAGAGGGCAACCAACTCCTGGAGTTCAGTCTTCAAGTCATAGCGTGTTGTCAAAAGCTCGGCCTGCCATGGTCGCTTGAGAACCCGCTTACCAGTCGTGTTTGGCTGGTCCCAGCTATGCAGCGGTTGCAGACGCAAGGGGCAACCTTTGTCAACACGTGCTACTGCATGTATGGCATGCCGTGGCGCAAGGCCACTGCTTTTCTGTGTGGCAACTTCAATCTCTCGCTCAGAACTTGCGAGGGCAGCTTCCGTTGCTGTGAGCGATCTGGCAAAGCACATGTGCATGTAGTTGGACGAGACAACGGCGCTGGCTTACCAGACTGGCACAGCCTTACCCCCACGAGCTCTGCAGTCACTACGCACTTCAGCTGCTACTTCGCCTTAAGCATACTCCGAGGTCGGATATGGACCAAGAACATTGAGAAAATGTTTGCTTCGCCATGGGGATCCTCCTTATCAGTGCGCGCTTGCCAGCACGCATCTTGGGGATCCCGCATTGTGTATGTGCTGGGAAGTTCGCTTCGACAAAGGTGCCTTCTTTCCACAGCATCTTCTCAGGCTCACTTCTCAGACCTTGTGCCAAGCCTTGGCATCGAAAAAGGTATGCTGGCATCGGGAAGGTGCACGGGGCCCAGACACATGGTTAGTACGAAGTTCGAGAGTGTGTCGCTGAGTGCTGGGAGATGCCGTACACTTCATATTCTCAGTCATCTTCTGCTCGCCAACCACGTCCCCGCCACCACCCATAGGACCAAGAACATTGAGAAAATGTTTGCTTCGCCATGGGGATCCTCCTTATCAGTGCGCGCTTGCCAGCACGCATCTTGGGGATCCCGCATTGTGTATGTGCTGGGAAGTTCGCTTCGACAAAGGTGCCTTCTTTCCACAGCATCTTCTCAGGCTCACTTCTCAGACCTTGTGCCAAGCCTTGGCATCGAAAAAGGTATGCTGGCATCGGGAAGGTGCACGGGGCCCAGACACAGGGTTAAGGGTTAAGGGTTTAGGGTTTAGGGTTCAGGGTTCAGGGTGTAGGGTTTAGGGTTTAGGGTTTTCTCGGATAACTGTGCCTCCATGTTATAGTGCTCCAACAAACATACTTTACCGAGTCGGGCTCCTATCACGACATGTTTGAACCCTAAACCCCTAAACCCTAAGCCCTAAACCCTAAACCCGAAACCCGAAACCCTAAACCCTAAGCCCTAAGCCCTAAACCCTAAACCCTAAACCCTGCCGTAAACCCTTGCCTCCTTTTCGTTTTAGAAGAGCTGGCAGGGCGCAGTTTCCTGGCTTCTCCGGGTCTTTGGCTCTGCCCAAGCTTTCTGGAAGTGCAACATGAACCTACATCTTGCTGTATGCCCTAAACCCTAAACCCTAAACCCTAAACCCTAAACCCTAAACCCTAAACCCTGTATCATCGCACACCCTAGAATAGCCGTAAGCCCTCACACCCTGGAATGGCGATGCTGACCTGTGACGCTCAGGAACAAGCCTCTAGCGATCGAGCCCGAGGCCCTTTTCGGGTCAGGGTTTAGGGTTTAGGGTTTAGGGTTTAGGGTTTAGGGTTTAGGGTTTAGGGTTTAGGGTTTAGGGTTTAGGGTTTAGGGTTTAGGGTTTAGGATTTAGGGTTTGGGGTTTGGGGTTTGGGGTTTGGGGCAGGGCTTTTGGGCCTTTGAGAGCTGCTGAGGGCTTTTTGGGCTATGTTGGCTGCCTTTAGGAGCTGAAGCTCCCATAGCCCTGCATGAAACCCTAAACCCTAAACCCTAAACCCTAAACCCTAAACGCTAACCCCAGGCTTGTTCCGCGCCGCCCTCACCCTACCTGAAGGCTCGAGTAGGCCCTTTTTGCATTTTTTTTTAAGGGTTAGGGCTCCCTTATAATCCCCTTAAAACCATAGAAGGGCACCCTTGTTATTCCTAGAGTTTATTCCTGGGTCTAGTATACTACACCAAAAGCAAGCTACGTTAGGAGCCTTTGAGGTAAAACCTTACATCCCGAAAGCCTAGGAAACTCTACCGGCCCTAAACCCCCGGAAGCCCGATCACGCTTTATTATGTTTTCGGGTTCTTCACTGTCGCTGTGGGACGATTTTGGGCACTAAACCTTAAAGTCTAAACCCTAAACCCTAGACCCTAAACCCTAAACCCTGAACCCTGAACCCTGAACCCTATTCCCTTTTCCCTAAACCTTAAACCCTAAAACCTAAACCCTGAACCCAAGGAGCACGAAGTCTTATGTAGCAAGCATTGAGGTGTCACCTATTGAGGGCCTCAGACCTAGTGAAGCTGACAACACCTGAACCTTCAACCTACAAGGCCTACAAGGTTTTGGGTTCAACTAGGGTTTAGGGTTTAGGGTTGTTTTTTTGGGTTTAGGGTTCCTATGATGAACCCTAAGTCGTATAAGCCCGAAGGCTCTTTAGCTCTTCAGCACACTGAGTTGTTTCTAATCCGTTGTTTCGAGCCTTAAGCCCTAACACCCTAAACCTGGAATCCGCAAGGCTTAAATGCATAAACACCCACATGGAAAGGGCTTCCGTTTTTAGGGGTACCTTTTTGGGGTCCTTATGATTATAAGGGAATCCTACTATTTGGGGGTCTATTTTGGGGGGTCCCTTATTTTCGTCAGCTCCCCATAGACCTTGAATAAAGCAGTTGTGGGAGGCACTTCCCCGCTGCACGTCAGTCAAGGTGCGGGTTGTCGTGTTTGTTTGAGGCTTCTTGGGTCTTGGGTAGGTTCGTGTAAATAAGGAAGATTTAGCAAACTGTAGAAAACGAGCAACTACACTCATTTTACTTCTAACCCTGCCCGGGCATTTCCCAACATAACATATTGGGGGTGCCCCTTGTAGATAAAACTTAAACTCGTATCGTCCCCTTCATGAGACCCCGCCCCCACCCCACCGTCACCCCCCCCCCCCCCCAAACAAAAAACAAAAATCAATGCCCTAACATTCGTAAAGTCACCGTCTGACATCCTAACCCCAAAACCATGAACGCGGGGGAGGCGACCACGAGAGGATTGTGTTGTCTCGCGGATTGATAGCAGTTGGTGCAAGGTTTTGCTGAGGAGGCCTTCAGGCGCAAGGCCTAGGGGTTTTGGACTTCGGGTTTTTTCGGGCTTACGTCTTTAGGGTTTCGGGTTTACGTGAAACCCGAAAAGTCTTGTGAGGGTCGACGGGGTTCAAGGCCGATGGCATCACTCCCCCACGAAATCAAACGCTGTCTAATTACGTTACACCCTCTGTAATAAAGGATTCCGAGCTCCTCTTGTACCCAATAAGGGAGTCAGCGTCTCTCTCAGATAGTGAAATTCATTCTGAATCTGTGCCCGTCCACCCCCCCCCCCCCCCAACCTCCTAAGCAAGTTTCTTGAACTGAGCCTCGCCAAAGCCTAACGTAAACTATACACAGGTAGGTGAATTAACCCTGAGGCCCTAGTTTCCTCATTGGGTTTAAGCGGCCCCCTGCTTCTTGGTTCTTAGTAGGGAATGAGGGAATGAGGGCCCTATAAAATCCCTTAAACGGTATATGTATATATTTGTATATAGGGCCCTCATTCCCTCATTTCCTACTAAGATTCAGCCAGCGGATCACACTTAGGAGTCTTTCTCGGAGTTTAAACGGGCCAACCTTGGCTAGCATAATATCAAGGCCCTGAACCTAAGCCCTAAGCCCTAAGCCCTCAGCCTCAAGCTCTTATAAGCCCTAAGCCCTAAGCCTTGAAGCCCTAAACCCTACCTCACTTCATGAGACATAGTCGTAGGGTTTCGGGGTCTACGGGGTGTGGGGGCCTATTTTAGGGTGCAACAGCACGCAAGGCATTAACCAAGATAGACTGAAAGCCCTTGAACGCCCCCACACATCCCTAAACCCCTAAAACACTAAATCCTATATAAACCCAAAAGCCCTATGAAAACCCTAAACCCTAACCCCCCAAACCCCCAACCCTCCACGCCCCAAAACCCCAAAGCCCCTAACCCCCCCAAACCCCTAAGCCCTAAACCCCTAAACCTTGAACCCCCAAACTTTCAATTTCAAACCCATCAACCCCTAAGCCCTAATCCCCTGAACCGAGACGTGTCGGAAGGCTCGCAAGCTGCCAGATCTTCCCAGGGCTCAGGCTCCGGGTGGTGAGGATCCTCCTATAAGCCCTATAAATCCTATTTTCCTTCAGGGTTTGTGGTTTAGGGTTTAGGGTTTAGGGTTTAGGGTTTATAGGGTTTAGGGTTTAGGGTTTAGGGTTTGGGGTTTAGGCTGCCTAAAGCCGTCGAAAAACAACGGGTTTCAGGGCTTTGGAGGGGGGGGGGGGGGTTCAGGGCTGCTAGGCTGTAGGGATCTAAGGACGACTTTAACCTCTATCCCTAAACCCTTAACCCTAAACCCTAAAACCCCCACATCCCTGAACCCCAACCCCACACCCCCGGCCTGGATCAAGTCAGCAGAGCTCTACATCGACATAGGGATTTAGGGTTTAGGATTTAGGGTTTAGGATTTAGGGTTTAGGGTGCGGTTTCGGGTGCTTTGCGAAGAGATTCGGGTTCAGGGTGTTGGGTTGAGGTCAGTTCTCCCTTAACTTCCTTTTTGGATTCTCTGTCATGACGTGTTTGCTACAGCTTAGAGTAATCTCATGTAATCTTCATAAATCCCGTGATGCATGTGGCTGGGCACGTTTTGTGTACTGCGA